TGGCCTCACAGCTGCAGCAAGGCTATGAAGAAAGATATTTAGAAGAAACATTTTTCCTAAATACAAAATGCAAAAAGAGACTACAGAAACAGATTAAATAATGATCATACTAAACCTTTTTATTTAAAAGCACTAAGTATACTCTGAAAAGATAATAGTAAGAGCAAATTAAAATGGAGAAGTTAAAATGAATTGTGATTGCCTATGGTGTGCACTGAAAGACACCGCCTACTGAAAGTCATGAGTATACAAAAACATGGGCATCATCTCAGCCTGATGATTAAAAAAAACACTTCCTGGACAGTACTAAAAAGTTTCTTCAAAGCATTACTTCTTAGAAATGGCTACCAAAGAGAACTGTGTACTAACAAATTACAACTCTGATATATAAGACATGAGATATGCTACACCAAGTCCAGTCTATCTGGGGGTGATGCTATTCAGGTGTCTTTTCTCAATTTTGATAGCATAAAATGGATAAGGAAACATTTAAGTTCAACTTTGAGTATTAGAATAAATGGGAAAAGAAAACAAAAAACCCCTTGCACCAAGTTGGCAAGTGCTGCACTTGCCTAGTCGATAGGATCGGGGATACTTTACATTCCGGTGGGCTGCTCTGTCTGCACATCAGAAAGGCTGCATGATACTAAAGCAAATTAATTGGACAATGCATGGAACAGATCCCTACCCACAGCCACTACAATTAAAGCTGGTGGAAAATATTACGTAGTTATTTTTTTCCTAGTTCATGACTTACCAAAAATAAGATACTGGAGGTTGACTTTTCTTAATTTTCAAATTTAGTTATATTTTCTGGTAGTCTGCGTGTTAGAAATTGCGTCACTAAAAATATGACCGAGTATTCTGCTAAAACTTGAACTAAGGGAGGCTATACACAACAAAATTTTGACAAGTCTTACAGGTTTTGTAAAGCTATTGTCGGCACATGCTTAGCTGACATGAACAAGACTTTCATTACGCATTTAAAGTTCCTAATTAGTGAGAACTGTGTAGGTTTGCAAAGCCAATTTAGCAGTTAGAAGTTTACTGCGTTCATCGACTTGATCCCTGCAGTTTCTAGAAGGCCAAAAGTATTTAGGAGGGCTGTTTTCTGAAACGGAAAATCATTCCCCCCTATACCGTTCAAAGTGGATAAAAGAACAGACCATCGTATGATAATCTAAGACATATTTTTTCTTACAGAGTTAAAGCATTTAACTCCCTTTCCCACCCTTCTGTGAAATCGAGGAAGACTGGTGCTGACAGCAGTGCAGGAGAGGGTGTACAAATTGTGAAAGCAGTACTTCCCTGAAGTCAGGAAGGTTTGGCTGTTCCCCTGTGCTCTTTCTATATATGTTACAACATACCACTAAGTTATGTACAAGTACATGACGATTCTGCAAAAGTGAAAAATGTCAAGACAAATGAAAAATAAGGGTACAAAACCCCATGTAACCCCATAGTCATTAAGAGAATCACTGCTGAAAAAAGTTTCACTTTTCATATAGCAAATTGTATACTTCACTAAGGGAAGGAGAAAGTTTGGTTCACACATATGACAACATCAATTATCTTTTTATCAAATGACTACCTCATCCTTAAGCCACCTTAAGACTACACAGCTAGCTGAAGCAACATAGTAATATGCAGTCTTCTTCTTTCTTAGGAAACTATACTGGCCATGATGATAATACGCTTGAAAAAGTTACACTGCGCTTTGCAGGTTGTAATGTTGTCAAATGAAATTTCAATTTAAGGAAAAATTTTCGCGCAAAAAGGAAGAGAGATGAAGCTGTGCATTAAGGTCTCATTTCCTCTTCTACATATGGCAGCTTACAATGAATTTCAACATAATTTACTGTCTAAAATTAAGCTGAAGACACTGGGCAACTCTGTGATACCAGCAGAGCTAGCACAGTAAGAGCAGGTCCAGATCCATCCCCAAAAAGAAGACAAAAAGCCTTTCCAAGAAGAGAAGAGCAGACCCTTGATAGGAAGTACACTGGAGTCCTTGGCTGCTGCCAGAGTGTGACCTAAGAGGACTCTGGTGGAGTTAAATTCCATGAGACAAAGATGTTGCCATTTCTACCACCCCAAGTAAAGCATGAGCACACCCTTCCCTGCATCACATTTTAGGACTAAAGAGTCCTAAAGAGAAATCAACATCCAATCATCACGTATCTTCAAGAAAATATATGGGAGTTAAAAGCAAGTACACTCACTGAAAAACAACAAGAAAGACTTAAAAGTTTCAACACTCTGTTAACGCTTTAAAAGAGGTAACTTACAACTAAATGACAAGTGAGAAAATAACCTTAGTTTCACTAGTTTGATAGAGGGCTCAAAGTTGTTTCTTGTACTAGGAAAAAAAAAAAGGTTCTCTTTTACGTGCAAAGCTGTAACCCCCTTCACGAAGACACTTTTCCAGACAACTGCTGCTTCCACAATAAATTAAGACCCTGAGTAGCAGGCAAAAAATCAAATATCCTTTCAAAGAATAAAAAGAGACTCTATAGCATGCAAAGTTTAGAATTTAGAAATACATTAATACCAAGCAGTGCAAGTTACAGAAGTCTAAGCAAGTTTTAATCAATTCTTTAAACTGAACAACAGTATTTGTATTATGCTGCTTTGACATTTTTCTGTCCCTCTAGAAAAAGATATACCAAAACATAGCAGTATGAAGCTTCTTTTTCTTGAAAATAAATATCTCATTTTCAGATTTTTTACTTTTCAGAGTTTCTTGAAGGCAAAAAAAAGCATATGGGCACAATGTTTCAGCAAATTCAGCACCAAGTCAAGAACTCAAACAGTATTTGGGGAAAAAAGATCAGTGATCATCTGTTTCCTAACCATGAAAACATAGATCTCATGAAGTCCCTCTCTTGTATAAAAAACATCTTCCTCCCAACGTAACAGCATGTTTGAACAAAGTTTCCACGCTCGGCAGCAATTTTTTGAAATTAGTCAGATATGGCCTCCTAACTTGCTTTATACTGTTTCCAGAAAAAGAATTAAGATTAAAATAGCAAGCCCTGTGGCAAATTGAGCGATTACATTGGCAGAAGGCCAGCACCACAGGCACCCTCCGAACGGGGTTGGCTGCGGTGTCCAGTTTGGCGACGGGAGCTGGAAGAGCAAAGTAGCTTGCATGCATCAGCAACGTTCAGAGAAGCAAACGGCGGCAAGATCTAAGTTACAGGAGATACGAATAGAGCGTTTAAGCAGTGTCAAGGATGTGCTGACAGACATGTAGAGAGGCTGGGGTTCTTGTGCATTCACAGCAGCTGCGGCTCAGTGAATGGTTGTAAACCACACTTCTTGCTCACTCCTTGGAACAGGATTTCAGCACACATGCATTTTAGGTATCAGATTAACGTATGGAAGGGGACTTTCACCGGCAGCTCGCAGGCCACGCATAGCCTTGCGCAAGACAACTAAGCATCCTGCTGACAGTCCCCATTTCCAGACTGGTTCACAGTACAGCCACGCTTTCTTACAAAAACTCTACTCAAATGCCCTGCCTTATGACTTGGCGTGGAGCAGGAAGCTGTTTGGACTGCTAGAAGCCACTGTGCTGCTAAGGCTCTCTGCGGATGGTTTCACAGGAAGGAAACGGAGAGCCTCACTATGTGGAGAACAACTCGTGGCTCATACCACAGAACAGACAACATCACTGCCCACCTCTGCGCAGGGGGAAAGGGCTGAGCCACAGAGATAAACTAGGAAATAAAAAAAGACAGACGATGAGCTTGGCCAGAGGGAGCAGAATAGCAGGAGCCTGAGACACACACTGCTAACATGTAGTAACCTAGGACACATTAGAAGTAGTGTTTGTTCTATCGAGAGCCAGAGGTGAAGAGAGGGTTGTTCTGGTAAGGGGAAAACACTCACGCACTGCTCGTGGGTCCCTGACGGTAAACAGCAGCCACCAATGCTGGTGCTGTGGAAGTAGTATCATTCTGAGTGAAAAGGAGAGCGGCAAGATCAGACAGAGAGCAAATAAAGGAAGACAGAGACTCCCACATGTAAAATTACTCTCAGCCCACGCACTGGCAATATTTTCAATGATTTAGCTCCTTAATATAACTTCAAAAAAGATATATCAATAGGAGGTGAACATAAAAGCCTTAGCAACAACAGCACAATCTGAGCACCATGAATACCTGTAAACTAAAAGTATACCTGTACGGAGCAAGAGAACCTGACGCTAGAAGCCACCAAATGATTACATCAATAGTTACACACAGTTATTGGTACTGCAAAGTGCAAATGATGTTATGCATGAAAGCAGAATCTCGAACATCAGTCTGGATACACACAGCTGCAGAGACCTATCTTCCTGGTGTGCCTACTGGCTTCGTGCACTGTAGAAAGAAAAGCAAGAAAGTAAAAACAGAGGAGCTGTACTCTAAGAGGAAAACAATCATCCTGATTGACTGTCTTGATCCTTGTCCCTCCAAGAGAATCAAATCAGAGAAAGAAAAGAAGCCAACATCTAACTGTGGATCCTAAGATATGAATGCTCTTACAGTAGAAGCATTCGTAAAAGAAGCAGTAAAGGACATCTTAGCTACAGGTCCTATATTTCACTATGCTATTCTTTGCTAGATTATCCTTCTAAAGAAAAAGATCTTATGCAAAACTGTTGAGAACAGTAATATAAGATAAATTTCCACTTATTTTGAAACTTTTTTCTAGAAGAAAACTAGGTACCAGTCACCCAAACATTGTAGTTCCTACATAAGAATTCTCACTACAGAAACAGCCTAACATTAAGAAGAAAAAACACTGTCCCACATAAACAGCACAAACTCCAACAGTATTAACCTATCTTTCCCCTAAATAATGTTAAATGTCCCTGAGCGAGTCAGTAACCTTTCTTCTCTCCAAGTTCATCTTTCCTTTGCTCCCAGATTTAATTTCACGATGGAGCCTGAAGACCTCTAATGAAGCCGATAACCTCTTCCAGCCCTGCCCGGCATCTGGATAGGGTTTACCTATATCTAAACAACACGAACGAGCGCAGCACAGTCGTTGACAAACACGCTGTTAGGGGAACACGACCACAGCGGCCTGAACTTCTGTGCCCGGCGAGACGGGTACCCCAGGCTGGCCCAGGAGGATGCAGCCGCTACGAGGATCTGGGAGGGAGGAAATGGAGACCCCAGTCCGTGCCGCGCTGCCAGCAGGAGGCTGAGTTGGCAGGAACAGCCAGGCGCTGGCCTGGGGAAGGCAGCACGTAGCTCACAGCCGAGGGGACACCCCGGGGACGGAGCCGAGGAGGGGAGCGGAGGGGGCATCTCCGCCGTCTCCCACCGCCCCAACAGCCACCGCAGCGGCTACCAGAGAGCCCCGTAAGGGAACCTGCTGGCCCGGGAAAGCCCCCTCGCCTCGCCCTCCTTACC